GTCCCTTCCACCCCAAACTATTCTATGATTCCATGAATATACTTCATCAACAGATGTCCTACTTACCTTTTTTTTTTTTTTTTAACCAGAGGTACTACAAATAAGTGTATAGAAATTACATAATCCTGTCTTTTAGACAGTAAAAGCATCATCCACTTTTAACTCTCTTAAATCAGGAAGGCAACTATTCTAGAATTAAAACAATTTTTAAAAGTTTCTATTTTGGGAAAAAAAAAAAACCCTAATACCAATCTGTTTGATTGGGTTGATTTGGCTACTGCTGTGTAGCCAAATACTAGGCAATGCAAAGACTGCATCTCCTCCTAAAATTAATTCTTTTCTTTGTTGTCTGCTTACTAGTTTAGTATGTAAAATTCCTAGCTGTTAATTTCCTCTCAGGGAAAATAAATACAGAAATCAACACAAATACTGTTTGTGAATACAATGAGAAATCATGACAGAACAATAAATGGTCATACAGAAGTTTTTAATGTTTGATTAAATCATCACAGTAATCAGAATTTTTACTGTAATGATATGCAGCTCTACCACACTATTATAAATAAAAACATTAAGATCAATATTAAATACAGCTCTAGGCAACATCACAGATTAACAAAGAATGCATTCTTCATGAACCAGTAACTGAATGGTTTAAAAAAAAAAAAAAAGCAACCAAAACCCCCCAAAATGCTGACACTTTCCCCCTCCCATCCACCACTTTTTTTTTTTTTTTCAAATTAGTAACTTCAGTAAGGCGCTGCAAGTTTTAAGTTGGAAAATTTTAGTTGCACAGCACAGGCACACATACTTCATTATCAGAACCTCTAATGTACATTTACCAGAAAACATTGTAGATGTTGACAGGGAAAGCTTAGCAGGTAAGAAGAGTAAACAGAGATGCACAATTTCTATGCAGCACTCGGGATCCATATGGAAATTATAAAACACAGCAGGGGTGTGAACTGTATTTTAATTCAGACAGTACAGGCTTGTAACATTCTGTGCAAGTTACTACAGTACACACAGCAGTGTTTTATGAGGTTTCAAACTGATTTAAAGCAATTTTTCTGTGTAGTGTGTTTATATTCTTCCACTGTAAAAAAAATTAAACAGAAATCAGCATCATGGACAACTTCCAGAGCTGCCTTCTGTAAATGGGCCAAATCCTGCTCTTTATGAAGTTTCTCCTGTAAAGTGGCTGCAGGCTTACGCAACGTAACAGAACAACTTTTGAAGCACTAACACTGACTTCATGTGGAAGAATACAGCTAGCTGGTGCAACGCTCCCATTTTAACGCAGCCCCACTCCCTGTTGCAGTTCCAAACCAGTTTTAAATAACAGGGGCTGATCACCATGAGCCCACTGACACGTTTTGTTTTCTTCTTGTTCCAGTTGCTGCAAGAGATGAGATGATGAGATGTAGATGGCATTTTTATACTCAGAAAAATCAGTAAAAATTCAGCAGAGCTCTTCAGCACAGGCATTAGTTTGGAGCTTGCCAAAAGTACCACAATTTCAGTTCAGTACGTTATTGTACTTAAGATAAAATCATACTGAGCACTTTGCGAATACAGATGTTTGAGGTAACTGTGATTAATGCCTTTGAGATACCTAGGATTATTATTTTAGACATTTACATTTTTGCAGTCTTATGGGCACAGTTATTAAAAGAAGGAAATTTTATCTAACCTCATATTGTAAAGCATGATTTTTTTCAGATTTCTTAATTTGTTTCCTTCCTACTTTAGGCTTATAGCATATTGCCTTTTTTCCTCTGCATGTGTTTGTGGGGGTGGTGGCTGGATAAAATTAATGTGAAACAAATTCATCTCGTGCCTAGAAAGAAAAAAAGTAAAGAAGTTGGGGATCTGTCAGTTCACCTGCTAGCACGTGTGTTGCTGCTGAATTTTACAGTCCTGCCAAATTTTCAAGTACTGGATTCAATTCTGCCCTGCTGCTCATCTTCTGTGGCTACATAGTATTTACAGCTCTAAAGACTTGGGGAAAAAAAAACCCCACACCCCCAAACCCAATAAACAAACCAGTCAAAAGCAATCTAATAATTATAGTCGCTTTCTTTGCTATTCTTTTTAAAACCCTGCAGTTTTTTTAAAATAAAATTTTAATATTCCTGTTCCAGTTATCTGCTAGTAAAAGGAAAAAGGAAATCTCAAGGTAACGGCAATGAAAGTTCCATTTCAAAATGATCTTATATGCATGTTGGATCATAAAGAAACCATTTTGTTTAAACCCTTCATCTAGTTGTAAACATTTGCTAATCCTCCATTACTTGCAGAGGATTATGAATTATACTATAAAATCACATTAAAAAGGTAATTAGTTATGTGAGATATTAACTGATTCATATTTAATAGAATTTTTTAATCCATACAAATATAAATAAAGAATGGTAAAACTTCAAGAAAAATAATATACATTTAGTGCAAGTTATGAGTTACATTTCTTCCTACCATGTCAGCAGTGGAACATCTTTTGTGGAGAATTAAAAATAAAAATGACTGTTCTCAAATTTTACAGGGGGGGAAAAAAGCTCTCCAGTGTTGTAGCATGCAATTTTTACCAGATACACGTATACAGAATTGTTCCAGCTCGTAACTAGTAGAATAGCAGTATTTTTCCTTATACTGCACAACATTGGTATATATCATAGTGTTTTCAGGAATACAAAAATTGCATAAGACCAGGTCACATTATTGATATTTTCTGCAGCAAAAACAGTATTTTTCTTTGAAACGCTAGTTTCATCTGGTTTTAATTTGTCTTGTATCACGACAGCACATGGGTTGAAAGAAGTCTCACATGGTTCCTGCAAGGTATTCATCACCTGTTCAATCTGGTTTTGCACAGCAGACCTGTACTGCCCCGAGCATTTCACGATGTACAAACTTACACGTTTAATGGCACAAGAAAAACCTCCCTTCTTGTGATCGAACCTCAGTAACTCACAGTACATCTCAATATGAGAAACAACTGCTTCAAAAGGGCACACCAATTTTAAAGAGGCTTTGTTACGGCTCAGGAGAGAGAGAAATAAAGCTCTTCTGGAATGTAGAAAGGTGACGTGTAATAATTAATACGCTTCATGAGTTAACACAACAGTTCTCAATGGTAAAAAGGGCAAGACCTTTCAGTCTCTATAAGATGGCTCAATTCAGAATGATCCCTCCAGAAACAGGGACTAGTAACACATCTCTTCAAAGCTGAAGTACCAGGCTGGGGCTGGAGAATTGCACCACCTCACACGGCTCACCCACTGCACTATCATGGCAGACCTGACGCCTCGGGACGCATCCAGTGCAGGACAGCGGCTCTCCCTTCCCACGCTCCCATCAGCCTTGCTCCTCGCCACATACTCCCCCAGACCAACTCCTGATTTCCAGCAGCAAAAACCCAGGTCTCGTCTCTGATTTTGGAAGTATCCCCCAGCCTAAAGTGTTGTGCTATTCAACAAATGAACCTCCTCTTCCGTTTCCTCTCTCTCCTCAGCTATGGGTTTCAGTTGAACATTATTGAGGCGGGGTCTTGGTTTGCCGTCTGGGCCATATGACGGAGGATATCTTTTTTTGTTATAATGCCAAGGAGGCGCCTGAAAAGGATAAATGGAAGATCGGTATTAATCCAAGCAGGAAAGTAATCCAGCAGAACGCATCTGTAGCCAAGTCCTTTTTGTTGACAGGAATAGAGCAAAAGTAAACAGCCTGATTTTCTTATTTAAACAAAAACATCGTATTAATCAAAATATCAAGGAACCACTGGTTTGTTAAAAGACAGCAATGCTGAGACACCATATCAGATGGTCTCTGACAGCTGTAGTCCATTTTAATGAAATACAAGTAATACAAGTAGAGCCCATGACAATTTTTATTTAACTTTTTGTTTCTACAAAAATGAAATTTTGATTAGCGTATGCCAACAAAAAAGTAACAAAGAGGGACAAAGAAAAAAAGAAGTATGAAAAGTGATATTGATCCCATTTCGTAGGGGAGGCACGTTCCAACCTAGCCATCAGAAGTGACGTACCGCTTGATGGCCCAAAATCCTAACAGCAAATCACACTCCCCTTCCCTCCGTTTTTAAATCGTAAGGATCCTTCCAGTCTGACACATTGGCTCAGGCTGAGCATATTCATAGGAGCACACTGTGTTGGCCATGAAACTTTTGTAAAATAAACAAGAGTTAACTAGCTTTGGGAGCTCACAGCTTTAGAAAATAAAGTGGGAATAATAAAAGAAAGCTTTCATTTTCCAATTTAGATACTGTGCTCTTACGACAGCGTCTTCATGGCTTTTAAAATTACAACTCTGCGAAATATCAAAAGGGGTGAGACTGTCCAAAAGGATAATATCACAGGAGAAGCAAAGAGCAGAATGAATGAGCTGCTGCCCTTGTTATTCTGGTTAGTACATTTTGTTTTGTCTTATTAAAGGACGCATGAAATACTTGTGAAATATTAGCATAAAATGAGAACATAATTAGCATGTTTTGCACATAAGCAGCTAAACATGGTGGGTCTGTTCAGTAGAGATGCAACGAGCAACCCGTGTCCAAATTAATACAAAGTCTACCATTGGTCTAAGGTTAGTTCACAACATCACGGTTAAAACAATATCTAGATTGTGAAGTAAAAGTCAACGTAGTAGCATGCCACTTAGCGGCTTAGGTTATCACTGAACATTTTAGAAAGGAGTACATTCATTGCTGTAGTTAACAGCAGCAGAATCACGGGACTTTACATAAAATCACAGGACTTTACTAAAAATAAGAGTACTTTTAAAAAATCAAGTTGATAAAGGGGGATTACAGGGAAGATCTAATGGTATGAGACATTAAAAACATGCTTGGCTTTGCTTCTCAAAAGACGTGATACTCACTTTGCTATTTAACAGCTACTTAAAGCTGTCAAGATCAGAAAAAGAAATTGGCATATAGGAAAATCTTAATTTGCATTAGGCAGGGAAACAGTTTTCCTAGCTGCGTGCTTTCCCACCTGGGGAAATCAGCAGATCAACTAGAGGGATCTGTGTGATCTCAAGAACACAAACACCAGAAAGTCTATTGTTTACTTTCCTTTAATGTTGTGACTAACAGTATGTCTGTATTAACAGCTGAATTTCTACAAAAGGATTTTGCACATACTGTTTTCTGATTTAATACAAATTTTTAGCATAAGATGATTTCATTGTTCAGCCGATGTCATAAAGCCCTGAGTTCACAAGTTTCATGCTTCCTGACTTCTAATGTGTCTAATTATGAGATCTGATATATCTAATCACCAAGGGTTCGACGTGCTGCTTTAGTTGCTCGAGATGCTCTAATATGTTCTTCTTTGTGATGATCCCCAAGACAATCCTGAAACAGATCATGTTATGCTAATAACTGTGTGTGAAATCAAATTAAAAAAAGTTCTAATCACAATGAAAAAGGATTAGAGCAAAACTTAAAAAAAAAAATGGTTGCAGGAAAGCTAATGAGATAATTAAATGAAAAATGATTTGAAAGTCAGTACCCTTTCCCAGACATTGCCTTTTTTTCTTTTTCTCCCAAAATGCAGAACACAACTGGATCTTCAACCACCCCAGAGCAGTATGTGTCTCATATCAAGTACACGTCAGGGAAGCATACGCCGTCCCTTCTCCCCAAATTCGTGTCTCTTCGGGTTTTAGAGGCACTGAAACTAGAATCTACTTTAGTTCCTTTGTTTAATAGTTAGTTCTCCTTACGCATACAGGTAATTATTCACATTTTAACAAGCCACAGTAGAGGAACAAAGTAGTAACTACGTAAAGTCATCGCAACTGAGATTTGAAGCTGCACTAAAAAGCAGGGTTATCTGGTGTCCCTAGATACAAATTCAGACAAATTTCTCATTCATGACAGTACAAATCAAGAGCAACTCCCTGGAATGGATATTCTGGTACAAATTAGGAAGAGTGAAGCTCAGTCTTTATCTATCTCTATGTTTGCCATCAGCACCAATTTTTACACAGTCCCTATTCCAATCTGGATTGGCACCAGTAAGTTCATGCGTGTCTTTATGTGGGTATATTCAATTTGCAGGAAATTTGCCAAAACATAGATTAGTCCTTGCTGTGCACATGGCTATATGCCATGGCTAAATACCACTAGTACTACTATTTACTCTCTGATCTTGTTGTATTGGACAGTGTGCTCATGGAATATCACAGGTTTGTAAACTGAAGACAAATATGAATGTCTGAAAATAGTGAATTATTAAAGCCATCCATACTTGCTGCTACTTTATCATCAAATAGTTAAAAATGTATAGTACAGTTTGACATAGCTTTGCACGATTAAGCTTTCTTTAGTCGATTTTAACATCAGCATTTGAGCACTCAACCACAACAGAAACAAAGAAAAAACACCCCAGTATAGTAAATATTCTTCATTAAAGTTTTATCAATTGAAATTTCCCTCCCCAAAACAAGAATAATTGCATGCCTGCACTGACTTTTAAGTGTCATTTCATGATGTCCTTTCCCTATCAGAGAAAGGCTTTTTAAGTCATTTATGCTTCTGAAAGCATCTACTTGCCATTCAATATAGGGATGCACTGAAGAAAAAAAAAACCCAGAACATTTAAAATAAATTTGTTTTAAAGATACATCTGAAAATATAAACTTGGAAACCAACATGATATTTAGATATTTTCCACTTGTAGCAGCCATCCTTTTGCCCACAACAAAGTCCCACCTATATTTCAGGTTTCTTGGGTTTTGTCCCATGAACACTGATCCTAAATGACGTGGATTACTAGACAACGCTTCACTCCCCAGGTGCCTTAAAAGACATGCTAAAGAGAAAGCAAGATACTATGGTAGGAGCTGCAATGTTGTGTGCCAAGTGTTTAATGCAAGAGACACAGGAAAGCAGAATGTAAAAGGAACAGCTACACAGAAAAAGATCATGTAAAAAAAAAAAAAGTAGTTTAGATAAGAGGCAATTATAATGAACATTTATGTTTTCATGCCTAAGGCTGATTTAGTTAGTGGGTAAGCACATGACAATTCCCTGTAGTCTCATTTACAAACATTGTTACTTACAAGAAATTGCTTTCTTGAAGTAATTTGAAGTGTAGAAACAAAAGTTGCAGATTGAAGTTCCAGAACTAGTAGCAGTTATTTAGTTGTTAGTATGCCAAAACCAAGAGCTTCATGGTAATCGCCATCACGAAACTCCAGAAGAGGAGATACTGGCTGGATCATTTTCTCCCTTACTTTTTACAAACCCACCTATCTGTAGATGTTCAATAGCTGATACACTGCCCCGCTGCCAGAACATACGTAAGAATGAGGAAATACAGTCCTTAGACTGTGCACCACACAAAACTAAATTTCTGCAAGATAAGTTGCGTCTCCTCTGCATGCAAGTTGCACACACAAAACTTGCTGAATGAGAGCTAATTTTTAACAGAACACCTTAAAATGACTGAAATCACCTGCATCCTTACTTGGAATACAAGGGAGGAGTAAGAATTTAAGAGAGATGCCGCAGCACAGCACCTTCTTAACGAACAGTTAGAGTCCTCAGTTGCAGTACCAAACTTACGGGTTCAAATACCACGATCCTGGAATATATCCTGGTTCAAATACTCTGATCCTAGAAGTGAGAATTACTGTATCTAACCAAACGAAGAGCATTGCCGCCACTTTACTCACCCATTGTGTGTTACAAGGCACTGCCTCAGACCCAGCTTCCGGAAAATATCCACCACTATTTCCATGGGTGTGTGGTCTGTCACGGTGAAAGGGCTCATATCAAGTATGCTTCTAAGCTTCAAAGGTCGAGGGCTTTCTGCTGGAAGCGATGGGGTATGCTGGGCAAAACAGACCCTGGAACTGCCAACAATCCCTTCCTGCTTCTTTCTAGCACTTTCTTTAAGAAAAAAGGGAGGGGGAACAGCAGAGGAGAAGGAATTTACATTCTTGGAGTAAGATAATTTAGTGCAAACAGACAGATCAATCAACACTACCACACCCTGATGTTATTCTCTAGATGTTGATATTCCAATACATTCTGTTCCGCTGTGTTTCCATAGACACTGCTTTATCCCTTATAAGTGTACAGAAATCACAAAAGCCATGTACGATACAGCTTTAGCCGTTCTTCAGCTACTACCTTTCTCACTCCAATAACTGACTTTTATTTACTATAAAGAGGTGGAAAGACTCAAAAACTAACGTACAAGAAGCACATAGCTGCTGAAAGAGCTGTTGAGGGGAAAGCCAATCCCAATTGACAGCTCCCCTGTCATGATTCCAAAGCCTGTAATTACTGCTGGTTTAAAACCAAAGAACTCATTACTGATCACTCTGAAAATGCTGTCTTCTTGTTTATAATGAATTTATTTAGCTTTGTGTGAACTGGATCTTCTTCCTTTTCATGTCTTCATTACCTTGGTGACATCACCATCCTTCCCAGTACCCTGAACTATTTCATACAATGACTCTCTTAAGGCAGCCAAAATCCAAGACTAAGCAACTTGCACTGTGCAATCTCAGCAGCTGAAATGAGTCTTACCTGTGAAAGTGTATTATTAAAAAAATGTTCTGCTATTCCCCCACTTTTACATAAATGCAAACTTAAAACAGTATGATGTCTATAATAATTTCCAAGTTTTGGACATTCCTATACATCCTACATAGTGTAATACCATAGTATATACAGTATTAAGACCACAGGTAAGAGTTTTACTGAAGTAAACAGTGTTGTGCTCACAAAACATTTTTTTAAAAGTTTCAGGAGACTTGTGTCTGTCAAGGTACAATCTTATGAATTAAAAAAAAAAAGTGGTTTAAGATGCAGCTTCCATCATTGATTTCATGCACCAAATGTTACAGTTTTGTAACATTTTCTTGCTTAATGATTTTTTTCCTTTGGTTATGATAGCGTCCTCAAAATCCACAGAATTTTTCTTGCCAGTGCACGAAGCACTGTCCCAAGTATGACACAAGTTCTAATACTCACCCAGAGAAAGAAGGCTCAAATAGGGCCCTGGGCGCTTTAGCATGCAAGCCAAATTTCCCATCATACAAACAAATTGAAAAACAGAAACCTAAAATAATTAATATTTCACTATCTCTCCATAATACAGCCTTAGTTGTTTTAACAACAGTAAATAACATACTGTCAGAAAGAAGTACGATATACATTTAAATTTTAAAATTACTTGGACAGTAATTCTCACAGAATCCTGCTGTTCTAAAATGAGAATTACTCAATTCTGAAGAATGTCAATGTCGCATCACTTGAAGAAATGAGATACTAGCAAATGCCTCAAAACAAACAAAAATACTGGACTAGATGACATTTTGGCCTACTCCAGTATGACAACTCTTGTTTTTAAGACAAAGAGATTAACATTTTCTCCATTTCAGAGCCTGCTATTGACGATAATCATATACTTCAGTAAAGGAACAGACAGTCTGCGTGAGGTATCTGAACCTTAAGTAAGTCTATTAACACACAGAGTAATAAAGCTATAAAATCATTTAAAATTGGCATACATAATCATGCAATACTGGAAGATAATTACCTATTGCAATAGTTAAATCTCTTCTTAGAGCAAAGCCCACTAGTCTCTGCGATTCTTTTGACATAATAACAGGAAAACCATTATAGCTGGTTTCATTGATCAAGTTTTCTATGTCTTCGACTGTCATATTATCCTGTGTCAGAACCGCTAAAGGTGGATCACTTCTTCGAGGTCTCATAACATCAGCAGCCAGTGTTGTGTGAGTAAATTCTTCCTTTGCATCCAAGAAAGGATATCCATTCAGTCGGATGTGTGCCTCATAGATGCCTTCCCTACCAAAGGCATCTCCTACCCACTTACTGGTCATGACTGCAGCCATTAGGGGCACAATATATTCCAGCCCTCCTGTTAGCTCAAAGACAATAACTACCAGGGACACAGTCATCCTTGTCACACCACCTGCAAGAAAAATGGTAGCCAGTAACATTCTGGTATCAGATCATAGATGAGTTTAGAATTCCCTGCCTTCCTATTGAGAACTACAAACATAACTTTGCCATTAAAGGTCATCTCACAAACATCATACTGAAGCAGACAGGAAAAATTAACACAAAACTTTTAGAAGTAAAAGTGAGCTTTAGGGAAGATTCCTAGAAAGCCAGAGAATAAAGGGATTTGAAAAATATGTGCATTTCTTTCATGTAAACTAAAAATAAAACTATGTATTTCTCCATATCACACCTGGGGTAAAAATACTGAGAGATGCAAAGAAACCCTTTAAGGTAAGAATTTGGAAAAAGAATGGAACTAATGCAGGGGAGTAACAGGTAGCAATTCAACAGCTATGTTGTCCAAAGGATTACAAATTTAATGCTGTTGCTGAATCATAAAAGCTAAAAAGAATTCTGAGCTGATGAAATCTCTTTCTTGGACAATGGGAGAAGACAGGGGATAAGATTTCTTTTTTGTTAGTATCCAAGATATTTGCTCTGCCAACGTTTCTGATGCTGTTATCTTCATTCAGTAAAAGACTATGATCTTTCTTTCAACGCTTTCAAAAGTAATTCCAGTTGATCTATTAAAAGACAAAAAAAACCTCTCCAAAAACTACATTTGTACCACTAGTTTATTTGGTTGCTCATATACACCTTTCCTTAAGAAAAAGGCCTACTTTTTTGCAGGATCTGTACTAATAGCTTTTAATTTCTAAGGCAATGAAGTTGTAAGTTAGGACAAGACAAGGCCTTCAAAAAAACCTCTCCTTGTTTAGGTACCCAACCGACGCCTCCTTCCATGAAGCTGATTTTCAACAGTTTGTAAATCAGACTTGTTAAAAATTTATCAAGCTAGACTTCTCAAATCATCAGACACTCCTGAAAGTTTTGTTTGGATTATGAATTTCAAGAACATTTTTTGCAATTCATGCAGATATGACAGCTGATCATGTCACCTCCTTGTAATAATTTCAACAGTACCTGACTCTGCAAATCCTCTACTTCATACCATTCAAGAAACTGATTTTTCTGACTGATGTAGTAATGACACTCCTTGATACCAAATAGAAAACAAAAACTACTATTTAAATTCTTCTGTTTCTCATCAATTTAAATTTCATATTATTCCTCAGATCACAAGGATCTCATGTAGAAATGTGAATGTGTTATTCTGAAGAGAGAGAAGCCCATATAAAAAGATGTTCCAAACCTGCACACGTTTATATCTCTCTCAATCATTATTTCGGCAACATACAAAAAATCAGATAATTTAATTTGTTGTATTTTAGTTACCTAAGCACGCAGCAGCACCAACCATGGCATAAAGACCAGGCGTAATACAGTCAGCTCCCACTTCACACCACTCCTTGAAGATGAACCAGTCATGATGGTAGTAAGCCAGCTGCTCCACTGCAATTCCTACAATCCTTCCTGCTATTGCGCCAATTGCCATACTAGGTATGAACAACCCAGATGGAACCTGCCACAAAACCAGAAGCACTGTTGTCACACCGATGGGAACGTACCCTGATGCGTAGTTTTACAAGCAATTTTTTTTTTCCAAAAGAGATGTAAATGTTCAAATTGTCACGTTAAAAACACATAAACTGACATTGCAAGGTTAGTAAAACTTAACACAATGCTATTGATACCTCTGATCAACTTGGTTAGCTGAATCCACTTTATAAGGACGTTTATTTATATTTTACTGTATTTAAGAGCAAATCTATCACCAATACAGGACCAGAAATTAGACTCCTCAGTGTCAATGTTCCTGAGTCAACATTCACTTACTAAACAAGCTCTGCACATAGGACTGCCTTCCCAAACTGCTTCCCAACACTGCTGTAAATTAGATGGCCAACTAAATAGGTGATTTTTAAAAGAAGCTTTGCTTACTGTATTGCAGTTTCCCATAAAAATTTGTGTATATAGAATGCTTAATACACTATGAGAGAAAAAGGCAGGACAACTCCCATTGTACAATGTAGATAACGTTACTGTAAAAAAAAATTCCTACTGTAATTTTAGTTATTTAAACTGTTTTTCTATTATCAACTAAAACCTGAAATGGCCATACAGCCTTGTCATACCAACATGGCTTAGTAAAAGATTATTGCAAGTCTTGCTTTTATCAGCAGCTTCATAATGAGTGAGGGTTCATCTGAGAAATTGCTGTTGTGTATCTTTTCTCCTCCTTAGGAAGCTAATCTTCTTTCCAAAAAAACATACTGGTGTCTAAACGTCTCATTAAACTGGAAATGCCCGCTGCTTCTCCTCACAGCAGTTGTTAGTATCAAAATACTTTCTACTGTGACTGAGGTACAGATCTGACTGCAAATAAATAGCAGAATTTTTACTTTTTTGTCTAAATGCACCAAAACCCATCTTGTGAAAATAACTTCATTTAAAAAATTGCACTCCTGGTGTAATAGGACACAATTTAATTTTTTTCCACTCTACAGCTGTGACATTTCAGTATTGTGCAATTCCAACTCCAGATTGTTCAATGCAACACCTCTGCTCAAGCAGGGTCAACTACAGCAGATTGCCCAGGATTGCATCCTGTCAGGTTTTGAGTATCTCCAAGGATGGAGACTCCACAAGCTCTCTGGACAACCTATTCCAGTGTTCAACCACCCTCAACAGTAAAGAAGTGTGGTTTTTATGCGTGCAGTTACATGGAACAGCAATATAGACTGAAAAGTTAAAGCCAGTTTAAACACAAATCCTGCTTAGTGAACATTCTACACTTCATTTGTGTTAAGACATGTGTGATAATGATGTAGTTGCAAAAAAACTATGAAGGGAGCCGGACAAGACAGAAAATGATGACGGCATGACAGTTGTATGTCATTCAGAAAACAGTCACAGGTTGGAGAGAAGCTGAAGACAGCTCCAAAACAGATTTACAAAATGACCAGGACAGACAAGAATTATGCTGCTTTGTAATGGAGAAGAAATTCCCATTACAGTCACACGAACGAAACCCGCTTTCTAGTCATGACATGCAATACTGGAAATTTCAGGACAGAAATCATCATTGGCTCCCTTTGACACCTGCAGTAATTACATTTATGTGATAAATTAGGAGAGAGGATTAAAAAAAAAAAGCCTACAAGTTGTTCAAGAGGTACAGTCTTTTCTTTTTTTTTTTTCCATGTCACAGGACTAGGGAACCTGAGTGGTTATGTCTGAACTCCGCTCTTGGAAATTTTAGAATCATCCTTATTGCTGAATCAGGCCCATTCAAACAGCCATCCACCCACAGAGTTACTGTTCCCTATTAAATTCAGCACACGTTTCTATTCAGCTGAACAAAAGGCTAGTTTGAATTTAATTAAACTTAATATTGTTTTCTACAAGAATTGCTTACTAATCAACAGTACAAAGACAAAAAATTCTAAAAACAAAGCTGCTGAGAGATGATTGCTTACTAATCAACAGTACAAAGACCTTTTTTTAAAAGAACTATACATGAAAAAAATTCTAAAAACAAAGCTGCTGAGAGATGGAAAATGAGAAAGGCATTAATTAAATAATCACAGCAGATGATGCAGCCACTGCATTCACACTTACCTTGATACCAAAGGTGAAGACTGTCATGATTATTTTAAATATGAGTGCTAAACACAACTGCCATATAGCTGAATAGACTCCAGTGCCTGCTGGACGGTCAGGAATATCATCTACTATTTTGCTCGCATTCATATCATTTCTGTAGTCACAGAGGGAGGAGGATTCTAACGGCCCACAGTCCGTGAAGAGCTCTTTAATAAGCTCACTGGTGTTTAGCCTTGTATATGGATTAGGAAATGCAATGACAGCTGTTATTGCTGCAACAATAATAACCTCCAGGACAGGATACTTCCCAAATTTCGTAGATTTGCGTCGACGACACCAGGCGATGTTTGCTCGGATGAAAAACGCTCCCCAGAGCCCACCAAATACTCCCAGAAGAATAAAAGGAAGCAGTTCAAAAAGGTACCAAGGAGTGTGATATTCCACATAAAAAAGAACTAGGCGGCTATTACCAAAAGGATTGATGGACCTTAAAACAAATGCAGCTACTAAAGCAGCAAAAAATGATCTCCATAAAGTTTTCAGTGGGAAATAGTAACTGACCTGCAAAAGGCAACACATGAGAATTATTAGTGATTCAATTAAAAATTGTTTTATGCATGTATTACAGTACTGCTGTTCACATGGTACAGATGCTGAGGAAAAAATATTATCAGTATTATTCCTATCACTTGGAGCACTGGCGCTCCAGTACATCCTACATTTTTATAAAGCTTTACAACAACTCATACTTACATCAGTTTTAGAGACAATACTAAAGCAATATTGAAACCACTGAAGGTTTAAGACTGTTAGGAAATAACACCTAGTAATTTATGTTTAAAAGCTTCTCTGTTTAAAAGTATCTCTTTCTGGCATTCATAAGAACCAGACTCTTTACTAGCTCTCAAATTTCCTGCTAATACTGTTTCATCTCCATTCAACCAACACTGAAAGGTTTCTGGCAGATGTGTTATTTTTATGAAGTATGATTAAAACATTTAAAAAAAATTCCTCAAAACAGAACATGCAATTTCATATTTAAGCCCCACAAAGCCTGATTTGAATTTCAAGAGAGTTTTCTTCTGAGCTTTTTTGGTAACAAAGGAATTCCTAAAAATCCCCTAATTACATAGCAAAATTATACATAAAAAAATATTTTGCTTCCTTTTTTCAATTCAGAGATTTTTAGAAGAGTATTAAAACGTCAGTTTTCTTTAAAGATGCTAATGATCTAAATAACATTCCTATGTATTTTGAAAACAACTAATGAAAACTAATTTAACACTTTAACACAGAAAATTTCTTGGAGAGTTTGATTGCCCTGGAAGTCAGTTTTACAGCATATTTGCTTTTTTTAATAATTAATGCATTCAATTGTGTTTAGGGTCTGAAACTTTAAAAAAAGTAACATTTAAAAACCTGTTTCACAAAACTATCAAATAGGTTTATAAAGCTTCTTACAAAATGAAAACAAGAAACCCGTTTTTTATTTTTTTAAATACACTCCTAGAGTGAAAAACTGCTGTATCTCTATCTGTATGTAAACTGTAATCATTAGCTGACTGAGCCCTTCTCCAGAAAAATGTAATTGAGAATAAAGCAAAGCTAGCATTCATCCAAAGAAAAAATATCTTTAGTTCTGCCAGTAACAGGACTCTTGGTTTTGAATTGTGGGTCCAAAAATTATTTCCTCCTTAGGAAAGACTCCACAGCTTAAAGGAGCCTGAGATTACTCATGCTAAAAGAAAATAATTTATTTTTTTCTTAGCTATCTATCTTTCAGTGCCATCTCTTGACATACCTCCTCCAGACTGAAAAGGACTCCACCAATTGGGGCACCAAAGGCTACAGATACTCCTGCTGCTGAGGCAGCTGACAACACCTGGAAAAGAACAATGATGAGAGGGTTTTTTTTGCAATCTGTGACATGCTTTAAACATGAACAGAATCTCGTTACAGTTATCAGTTTCTTCTACATCGCTGTCAAGAGCACACAGGTCTGCTAACAGAAAAGCATCAGTGCGTGCTTCAGAATGCTCATAAGATGTGGCCACAGCAGCTACCGACCAGGTACTAGCCATGACGAAGCCAAGGATGCTGTTCAAAGCCTCCTCAGCAAAGCACCTAAAGGAGTCTATGCTTCAGTATGAAATGCTGGTATCTCATTTTCAAGAAATTGTTGTAAGCTTTATTGGTACTAGATGCATGTGGTGAAGTCCACCAATCACAAATATTCAAGGGACAAAAAATCAATGACAGACTACATAGCTTTTCTATCAGTCCTGGAGATTTGCACTTGCTAGTCTTCAAGCAAAAACTTGCAAAAAACATCTGAGGTGAACTGAGGTTAAGGGAGAGATTAAGAGGCACTGAAGCAGCAGCCGGTCCTCCAGTATCATAGATGACTTATGTTCAATATATGAAGACAGTTACAGTGTGTGCTAATTATAATGATATTGGACAAATTCCTTGCAAGAACACTGACCCCCAGGTAGTAGCCCTTATACATCTGTGGAAGAATACACAGAGAAACTCAAAGCTTTGAAACACGAAGTTGTGGTGATGTGCTGCCCACCACACACACCTTAAGCCATAACCACCAGTGGGGGTTGTGATGGCTGCATCTGGCTTATGCTGGACTTTAGGGGACAGATGGCAAGACAAGCTGCCAAGGGCTGTCAGAGTCACTGTTCCAGACATCTTGCTGGTATGCAAATATGACTATAAGTCAATCATCTTACTCCATAAATAGTGCACAGCCCAGAGCCCACTGAGTTTGCCCTCCCACAGAGCAGCTGCACGCCAGGATCTCCCCTTGAGTAGGGACGCCTCTCAAGGTTACTCCTCGAGGCAGAGAGATTCCTTACCACAAAAGATCCTTGGTAAGTGACTAATAGCATGCCAAACTTTGAAATCTTAGCTAAGTGATATTAAGGATTGATTGTGCATAAGTATAATCCCTTAGCCATAAACTGTTGATCAAGTCTGGAACTAGGACTGCATCCAGCCGCACCTAGACTCCTCTGAGGAGTTTAGAAAGAAAGAGGGTCCTCTCTGAGCCTCATGCCTCAACAGGAGGGTCTCCCTGACAGTTTTGTCTGACCCTGTCCTCTGTGCAGTAAATAATCAAGTGTACCTTGCCATGGAAGCTTGTTAAACCACTGTTGCATTTACCATTGAACTTCATTAACTCACTGTTTGTATCAATAAAGTATATTGTTGCTTCTCTCTTATAAGTGCATGACTATCTACCACAGAAGTGAACCAAAATTTCCCATGTTCTGCAGTCTCCTTCTAGAAGTATAGAAATTGAGCCTGAGAACTGCAGTAGAGCTAGGACGACACCTTTTTTTATTTTACACTACAAAAACTTTATTGAATTAATAAGCATGTTAAAACTTGCTACTCTCTATGACTATACTTGCTTTCATTTGCATGGCTCTTTCTATTGGGTTTACATGACAAGGTTTTGGTAGCGGGGGTGGGGGCTGCAGGGGAGGCTTCTGTGTGAAGACACCAGGCTGCCCCATGTCCAACAGAGCCAGCTCCAGCCAGCTCCAAATTGGACCTGCTGCTGCCAAAAGCTGAGCCCGTCAGTGATACTGGTGGCACCTCTGTGATAAGATACTTAAGAAAGGGTAGAAAACACTGCACAGCTGCTGTGACAGAGAGGAGTGAGAAAAACGCAAAACAACTCTGCAGACACCCAGGTTAGCGCAGGAGGGGCAGGAGGTGCTCCAGGCACTTATGCAGAGATTCCCCTGCAGCCTGTGGAGAAGCCCATGGTGAGGCAGGTTGTCCCCCTGCAGCCCGTGGAGGATCATGGTGGAACAGATATCCACCTGCAGCCCGTGGAGGACCCCTCACCAGAGCAGGTGGATATGCCCTTAAGCAAGCTGCAGCCTGTGGAGAACCCACATTAGTGCAGGCTCCTGGCAGGAGCCATGGCCTGTGGAGAGGAGCCCACACAGGAGCAGGTTTTCTGGCAGGAACTGCAGCCTGTGGGGGATCCAGGCTGGGGCAGTCCATTCCTGAAGGAGTGCACTCTGTGGAAAGGACCCATGCTGAAGGACTTTGTGAAGGACCCATCTCCCATGGGTGGGACCCCATGCTTGAACAGGCAAAGAGCAAGAGGAGGAAGGAGTGGTGGAGACAAAGCGTTACAAACTGATCACAGCCCCCATTCCCCATCCCCTTGTGCCGCTTTGGTGTAGAAGAGTCAGGAGTGAAGTTGAGCCTGGGAAGAAGGGAGAGTGGAGGCAAGGTGGTTTTAGTTTTGTTTTTATTTCTCGCTATCCTACTCTGTTATTAATTGGCAATATAGTAACCTTCCTCAAGTCTAGTCTGTTTTGCCCGTAATGGTAATTGGTGAGTGATCTCCTATCTCAACCCATGAGCTTTTCATCTTATTTTCTCCTGCTGTCTTGCTGAGAAGGAGGGGTGAGAGAGCAGCTTGGTGGGCACCAAGGCTAACCCACCACACTCTCACTAACAACAATAAACTGAAATACAGCAGAAACACTGTTGTCATCAACCCTTTTCCAGGAATACTTTGTTTACAGGTTCAAAAGTCCTGTGCTGTCCTCACAACTGAAGACACTCATCAATTACCAAAATGCAGAGTCAAGAACAGAAATGGTCTCTGACATGCGAGACACAAACTTACTCTGTCATGGAAACAATTTACCTTGGAGAAGCTAGGGATAATACATTGGTTTTAACACAACAAATAACTATTGATAATCCAAGCCTAAACACTATCTGAGAGAACAAAAAACATCTTTTCAACAAATTGGTGTAAATGCATAGACATTCAATACATTCTAGAAATGCTTTTACAAGAACTTACCTCTCTTTTTTTAGCTTCATTTGTGCTGTACTTTGGAAAGAGGTAGGAAAAAATATTTCCACAGCAGCAGGCAACATGTACCAAGGGACCCTCTTTTCCTAAACTTAAACCTGATGCAACAGCCAAGACTAAAGTGATTGTTTTTATCATCAAAGTCCACTTCCCCAAGTAACCTCTGATGATGAAGCCACTCAAAATAGTTTTTATCTGGAAGAAAGAAGAAATAGTATCTGTTATTGTATTCTGCTTTCTTCAGAAAATCATTAATTTTATCTGCATAACTTCAAAAATATCCTTTTCAAATGACTAAATTAAACTTTAAAACATGTATTGTTCGGATTGCTACACTGAATCCATTTGGTTGCCAGAGGCATTCCATTCGCAACTTACTCTAAAACCCTCGACAATAACATTACCCATTACATTTACTAGAAATTTAATCTGAAATTAATATGAAACATTAATATGAAACATTAATATGTATATATTATATTAGTTAGACCTCACCTCAGGTATCCCCGAGCCACAGGCATAGGGAGCAAATACCTTCACCAGAGAAACTGCTAGGAAGGCAAAGCTCAAAGCCCAGAAAATATACATTATGTAGTTCATTATGTATGAACCTGGACCCTAAAAGCAAAACCAAAAGTCAGAATATAAATTTGATGTATGAGCAAAATTACTACTTAAAATAACCCAGAAGTACTCTTCCTGCAAGTACACTTATGCACACATTTTGAAGGAGAGTAATTATTACCAAGTCAAGAGAGTTTTGTTTGAAAAACAAAGTCATGACACCTGCACATCAGCAAAGACTGGGTTATACAAGGCAGAAAGTATTCTAACACTTTGTCTTAAAAAGAAAAAATAAACATAGCACATAGGGGTTTTTTTAATAGCTATTAGCTGCTAAAATCTACTGAATACTGAGTAAATCTTCTTTATTTAAAAAATTTGTAGAAAAAATAAAACCCATCTATTCTTAGTTAACAGAGAACACTACAAATTTAGTTTTTATTTTTTTAATGTATAGTTATGGTCAAGAATAGAAATACTCCTGTTATTAACAGCTCTATACTCTCATAATTTCCTTACACCTGCAACAGTCCAAGCCCCCTTGTAGTGCATGAAACTCGCATTTATTACAGTATAACCTATTAATCAATTCAAATGCTGAAAAATGGAGCAGATAATACAACCCAAACCCATGTTTAGCACCCTAAACTTAAGATTATTATTTTCTTTCCATGTTCAGTTGAGCTGTTGAGCAAGACCATGTAAGAATGGGTATATACTTACTTCTGCTTGCCCAATTATTAGTTCTGCCCATGTTTTCCACTGTGGACATTTATCTCTCTCTTCAAATGTGGTCTCATTTGAACCCCAACAACACTGTTCATGGTTAAACCACAACGCACTAAGGCAAATGCCTTCCTTCAAGTCAGTCATCCAGTCAGCAGCAATATCAATTAATCCTGCCAATGCCCCTGTTTTAGAAACAGTTCTGTATTAATATTCTGGTAAATAGGAATAACATACACCGCTAAAATGAAAAAATGTGCTGGTATTAATTGATGTAAATTGAAATTACAGAAAACCTAAAGAAATAGATATTTAAAATATTACTGATTTCCAGGAATATATCCTATTTGCAACATGGTAATGTTAGTATTTGCTGAAGAATCTGGTACCTTGTATATTTCTCAAGTTAAATGCATCTTTTTATCTCCCCCCCCCCCCGTCTACTGGAACTAAGTTAGGAATCAAAAGAGGACTGATACATTTTTGTGATGACAGAGACAATAGACCTTCTGACAAAACTGCCTTGCCATGTCTCAAAGAACTCATGAACTATTCTACTATGTTTTGTACAAAACAGCATATTTGGAGAAAATAATTCTTGCATTGACAACAACTGTTTTAGAACAACATAAATAAAACACCAAATAAACCCTGATGACATGCATGTAATCCATATACAAAATGAATTGCAGGTAACAAACAGTACTGATACTAAGTAGTTCAGGAGTTCACAAACTCAAAGCTTAAGAGGGATTCTGTGTTGTAACTACATGCAGAAAACTTGATGAAGAGTCCTCAAAAAATAGGCATTACTTAGGAAACTGCTTCGAAGAACTGAAAAAAAATAATTTAAAAGTCCTTTTATTTTACAAAAGCAAGATAGTTTTTCATGGTAGCAGTATACTGAAGAACTACTTTTTAAGTCAATATTTTTGTGAACACATACAACCGTTAATTAGTTACAATTTTCTATTTTTAAGGTATTATTCACTACCAGAAATAGCTGTATAGAGACAGCCAGAATTTACTTGTGTAAGTTGGTAGCAGGGAATTACCACCCATTTACTAACTTACACTTACTAATCTTGACAGGTCCTCAGTTTGAGATCCTGGGCCAAAGTCAAGGACAATAGTTCAGTAGAACAAAATTTCAACCGAATTAATTAAAATAATTAAACATAAGATGTCCCCATGACTGAAATCAAGATTGTACCATTTAAGATTCACTAGACACGTACAACAGAAAGCAATTGAAACCGAAACACCTAGAAACATTCATGGCAAGGATTTGCTCACTTTCTTGCTCAGAAACACAGAAAAGCAATTTAAATATACACAGCAGCTTGGGGCATGGAAACACAACACTGCACGTTCCCACCCAAATTATCACAAGCAATTTCCAATAATTATACACTCCCAGTTTGTACATTCAGAGGTATATAAACATGCTGCACAGTTTGCATATATATTAATTTATACATAATTTGTGAAAGTGATTATGTATATATCTAAGTAGTAATTATACAGTTACCATGCCTTTTTAACAGGCATAGCCATACTCTGCAACTAATCCAATTTTCCTAGGATTTAATCTAAGATCTCTGTTTGAAATACATTTTTGGAAGAACTGGGCACAAAGTTTGTGACTTCTCACTCCTGCAAATTCTGGTCATTCCGAACTATGCTGATAGCATGACAGCAGGGCCACAAACTATCAGACGATTTTAGTGCTAAAACTCATACTAACATACATGAAAAAGATAGAGTTGAAGTGGAGACCAACAGACTCTACCTCTGTCCTGGGTTCAAAAGCAGGGACAGAATTAATTTTCTTCCTAGCAGCTGGTGTAGTGCTGTGTTTTGGACTTAGGTTGAGAATAATGCTGATAACACACTAATGCTTTTAGTTGTGGCCAAGCAGTCAAGGACTTTTCAGCTTCTCATACTGCCCCACCAGCAAGTAGGCTGGGGGTGCACAAGTTGGGAGGGGACAGCCAGGGCAGCTGACTCAAACTGACCAAAGGGATATTCCATACCATATGATGTCACGCTCTGTACATAACCAGGGGGTTGGCCAGGAGGCTTGGAACTAGCTGAGCATTGGCTTCCGGTCGTGAGAAATTGTGCTGCTGTTTTGTATATTCTTTTTACTACTACTACTACTACTAGTAGTGTTAGCAGTATTGTTTAGTATTATTATTAATCTTCCTTTTCTGTCCCATTAAACTGATCCACGAGTTTTGCTTTTTTCCAATTCTCTCCCCCATCCCACTACAGGGGCAGAAGTGAGCAAACAGCTGTGTGATTGTTTTAGCTGCTTGCTGGGTTAAACCACAACAACCTGTTAAAGTTAGTTTTTTCTGTGTATGACAGAACATATAGCTAGACTTTGCTCATGTATAAACACATGCTTTACAAGGAAGTGTGCTTACCAAAACTATACATATACTGGAGCTACTTTTTGGTCCATTGGTACCATTACCATTAGCAAAAGACCAAAAACCCACAAAAACAACCCACCACCCCCCTCCCCCCAAAAAACCACCAACAAAAACCCCACAAAAAAACGAAACCCAAATTCACAGCAGAAAAACCACCTAGCACAATAAATGAATACACTTTCACAAGAAACCCTACAAGAAAAAAAAAAATTTAACAGAAAGGGAAAACACTAATCTCAATCACAGGATTAAAGAACATGGATAATTTAGTAGGTGGAAGTTCAATAGCTCTGAGAAACTCTCACTAAATTCAGTGAGTATTTTGTTTTCCATTTGATTAGTAAACCCTCCCCTCAAAACGCTAAAGCCTGTAAATCAAGACAGTCAACCTTTTCTTTCCTCATGGAATTATGGTTGTAGTCTGAACCAGCTCTTACCCAGGTTGGTGGGTAACACACAAATGAAAAACACAGTAACTATACTTGCTGACAAGTGTAAGAAAGCAAGCCTCTGGTTTTTAGTTTACCTGATGCCAAACCAGTTAGAGTGACTACTAGCCATCCCGACCAAGCATCGTACAAACTTTTTGTCATCTCCCATGCCGATTCTTTCTTCTTGCTATTAATCTGCAAAGAGAAATTGTTATGTATACTTGTATGTGCTCCTGTAATGTGAATAGGAGAATAAAAGCAAGCATGACATACAAAGTGCATGATGCAAGCTGCAGGCAAACATACCCTCTCTTTAAACAACAACCATTCTCCTTGTATTTACTGCTTCATATAGATAAATCAGCTTGGTTCTTCAGACATCAAACAACTGACAGATGAAAGTAAATTTGCTATATTTAAAGAACTAAACCCCAAGAAATTTATTATTAGGATAAATGAATACTTTCTATGATACATATCTAAAACATGTAATTGTAAAATTATTTCTCTCCTAAATCTTAAATTATTTTTGTTGAACTTCAAATAAACTGTTAGTGTACTACTACTACTACTCTATTCCATACAATTCAAGTTCCTAAACTTCTACTTCAAATATAAACATCTTTTCTTCAGACTAAAAACCACACAAAAATAAAACAAACCCAAAGCCTGGATAACTACTCTACAATACATCTAGACAACTATTACTAATGACATCTAAAGATACTGTACTGAAAAAATAGTAAATCTTATTTTAGCCTTATTGAGTTTGTGTACTTAGCTGAAATTTGTGCATAACTTGTTTCATGATTAAACCTTCATTATGTAATTGAATCCTATTCTTATGATTTTTTTCATACTGTAAAAGGAGGGAGAAAGTATGTGCAACAAATAGAAAAACAAAACCAAACAAACTAAGAAAGCATAATACTAGGCAAGGAAACAGAAAAAATACCACCCCTAGAGCAAGTAAATATATTTTATACTTTCTTCCACATTTGTAAGATTCTCAAACTTTTTTTTTTAATTAAAAAAGTTGTTTCTACAGTACCACATCTTTCAAAACCACCATGAACTAGTACTCATTCCTTCTTCCTACATCTTTGATTACATGGCTAGACAGTCTCCTATCATTCAGGGCATATTTATACATTTCACAGTAATTCTGTGACAATAAACTGTGAACTGTCTTGTCTGACATTTCTGGTCTCAGATGCTAAAATGAGTAACAGCTGTGAGACTTCACCCTAGATAATGTATTTCCAGGTGGGATCTGCCTTCCCAGGATTTGGCCAGGCCGAGCATTCTATCCAACAGTATGTCCACTAGACACTAACCTACACATCTGCAGTGTAAAGAGATGGCATTGTGTGAATTACTGCTTAGACATCAAATTATGAAAACATGAAAAACATCGAAAACACCTTACGTTTCATTAAAAGCATTCAGACAAGGTGTTCTCAGATCCATTGGTCCAAGGATCTCTTTTCCTTAAAAAAGCACTAGATAGTGCAACTGTGGATGTTTTGGTTTTTTAAACTAGTGTAAGATTCTTTTTTTAACCATGTCAAAGTCAGTCAGCACATATATCCTACATTTGCTTCCAGAAAGTTAAAACCGATGTTTGCAAAGAAAGCAAAGTAACGCTAGAGTGTTGTATGTGAAGGAATCTCTCCCCTGACCCCTCCATACAATTACAACTCATTTCTAACTATTCCTTTTAGTAGAAATCACATCTCCAAATCTGTTCTGTTTTTAAGGTTAATTAACGTAAGCATCCCAAAAGTTTGGCAGTAAGGCTCTAAAAGGCTTATTTCCTCCTCAAATGCTATTAAACAAATCTATTACATGAATGACAGTATCTAGCATGTTACTGACTCATACAACTTGAGTCCATTTCATGAAAGAACTCATTGCGGAGTGCACTGATAAAGATGGATGGCCTGAACTTTGAAGATCCCATAAGCACTATCGTACTGTTACAAATATATCCACACTGGAAAATTGCCTTAAATATACCAGCATGCAAAAAGGCAGTACTGTAAACCCATCATTTCAGTGACAGGGAACTAGTCCCACTCTATTAAATCACTGTTTTCTTTCCAAAGTTATAATACTGTTGCAGGACTGTTGCACATATTTGTATGTGTTACTAGATCAGACTAATTCCAACATCCAACAACAAATATTTTCCAAGTATTGTTATTTATCTCAAGTACCCGTCTATGCCTTTCTCTGTCTTTGCACTTCTCTCGAACCCAGTCAATGGTATGGAAGTCATCGTACGTTCCTACTCCAGGAATTGGTTCATCCAGAAGATCCAGTAAATGTGTTGAACTGTTGATACTTCCTCCATTTGTCATTGTATAATGAGTTCCTGTGGCAGAGGAAAGACAAGAATGAATTAATTCTGCAATAAGTGAAGTATTCTAATGTTCATAACAGTATGACATATAAAATTTCTGAACAATTAAGACACTTCCCATAACACGAATATTTTACTTCATTTAGGTCTCTCAATGTTGCATGTCACTATTTTTTTCTGTCACTCATCTGTAGGTTAAATTTGCATGTTAGTGACTTGGTATTTCCATTGGTTAAATACAAATGTACTAGTCAAACTGTTGTTCTGTGTGCAGACTCCAAAGAAACTTCAATACAACAAGTGGAAAAAATAAGCAGCTTTGACACACATTTAACTTGAAGTTTATTTCAGTTTATGAACTACCAGAGCAATATCTGACTGTAAAAAAACAAAACCAGATGATTAGATGTAAAGTTCACAGCACTTCCGTAAGTTGCCAATTATTTTTAAATAAATATACCATTGATTATCAATCTCTCCTACATGTCTAAATTAAACCTAAAATGCCTTATCAACAGATTATCAGTGCAGCTAAAAAACAATAGAAAACCAAGCAAATACTTTTTTTAAAATTTATTTTTATTTATTTATTTCAGGTAAGTCACAGAACAGCCCTCATTCATGAAAAGTTGAAAATACTGTATAAGGAAAATGTAGCATGGCCACCATTTGCTTACCTAACAAAATTGCTTCTTCAACAGTAATTGCTATAAAAGGCACATTTATAAAGAGGTTAATATAGACAATGATTTAAAGAGTGATTACTCTCACTTGTTTGACTAAGAACAAAATAATTTGGCCAACAGCATATGGCGTGCTACAATAATCTCTGTTCTTAAAGATGTAGGCCCAAGCTGGCCAAGACTTCTATCAGTTCAGACAGGCACTAGAACTCATTTCACTAGACTGACACTGGGGTGGTTAGGCAGGTGGGGGGTTTTTGAGTTGGGTTTTCTTGTTGGTTTTTATTTGAGGTTTTTCAATTGCAGGCTAAAATTTTCAAGACACACAAAATACTATTCATTACACATACACATTACATACAGAAAAGCTTAAAATTCTATAAAAAGATTGCTTTTAAAAAAAACTTAAAGCAAAAGAAGAGAATGCAAAGGCCAGAGACAGCTCCTCAACAGTACCAATACCATTCACTCATGCTAGCCTGGCTGGCATCTTTCTTAATACTGTTTTTACCCAACAGTCTATGCCATATTAAATTCTCCCTCGTCTATTCATCATAGCTAAGCCCTGAAAATCTCTTCCCGAAGCTGCTCCTAGTCTCTCTTAAGGCAGATGTAAAGAAGCATCACCTATGCTTCCATTAATAAAAGGCTAACAACAACAAATTAAAACAGATTTGCTAATAGAGATGATTGTGAAAACCTTGCTTTAGTTCTCTTGCCATTTCCAATTCTAATTACAATTTTCAAATAACTAGAAAGGAAGTGTAAGATACATGTCTGGCTAGCTGAAAGGGAAAGCCGATCTTGTGGAAAAGGTAGTAACAGAATTCACACTGTAATGATTAGTTTAGCTCCCAAAATTAAACCAGAACACGTTACGAAAATGTATTTTTTACATGAGAGTAACCTCTTTTGCAAAGCAGAGGACAAATTCAATTCAACCACAGTTTAATTATTAATCTCCTACAAAGTTACAATGTGATCAAGCAGCCTACTGAACCTGAGTGGTCACGGTAGGACAAAAGCTTGCCTTTGCCCCCAGGGAGCTGGTTTTATGCCCTGCTATATATGAAGCAATATCGAACTATAAGGAGCACGCAATCCTCTGCCATACAAGGCAATGGAGATTTGAGAGTTATAAAGGTATCACAAGCAGTAACAGATGATTTTACACATATCACAAGGTGCTATATTGGAATTGTCTCCAGGGAAACCATCAGGGATGGCACCATACTCACTGCACCAGATTCCAGGCAGAACTTCGAGTAGGCTACAAATGGTCATTGCCTGGATACAATAAAAACCCCACTGAAACTGTGTCAGCTTCCTACTTTGCCAGCATTTGCTGGCACACCAAATACTGGAATATAAATGATTATTTTCTGATGGGGAGGAGACACAGAACAAAATGTGAAGCTGAAGAGGTGGTTTTGTTGAATACAGAGCTGCCATGAATGCCTGATGCAGCTGAACAGCTATAATCTCGGACCAAGTGAGAAACAGGCAGCAGTGACAGCCTGCATCAGTGTGTGGCAGAAAGGCTGCCCTAGAGAGGACCATGAAAAGAACAACTGTACAAAATCTGATGCTATGTAAGATACATAAGTCTGACAGCAGTGGGGAAGGACTCCAGCTAGTATTATGACGTGGGTAGCATATAACTATTCTAAAGGAGAATTGAAATACCTCTTTATCAACACTCAAAACTTTTCCAAACTTCCACTTCCCTTTCTTCCCTTCCTTCTCTAGCATTTCACACACTAAGATGCTACTTCTAGCTATGACGATAACGATTCTCATCAGCATAACCACATACAAATTCTCATAATTTATTGCCAGTTTCTCAAAGCGTTATTAAATTTATTTTCAACTCAATAGATTTTGTTAAAATCCTTAACATAATATAGATTTTTCATGACAACATTCTAACCTCTAAGCAGGAAATCATCATTACCCCGATAAATTGTAGCATTTAGCAAATGGAGCCTTGTGGACATACCCAATGTTCAAAAAGTATTTCCCCTTCTCTCCTCTCCCTTTCCCCTAGTTCTCAAGTTTTAAGACTTGAGAATTCATAGAATCACAGACTGGTTTTGGGTTGGAAGGGACCTTAAATATCATCTAGTTCCAACCCCCCTGCTGCGGGCAGGGACACCCTCCACTAGACCACGTTGCCCAAAGCCTCATCCAACCTGGCCTTGAACACTTCCAGGGAGGGGGCATCCACAACCTCTCTGGGCAACCTATTCCAGTGCCTCACCGCTCTAGCAGTAAAGAATGGATTCCTAGTATCTAATTTAAACCTACTCTCTTTTAGTTTAAACCCATTACCCCTTGTCCTGTCACTACACTCCCTGATAAACAGTCCCTCACCATCTTTCCTGTAGGCCCCCTTCAGGTACTGGAAGGCTGCAATTAGATCTCCCCGGAGCCTTCTCTTCTCCAGGCTGAATAACCCCAGCTCTCTCAGCCTGTCCTCATAGGAGAGGTGCTCCAGCCCTATAATCATCTTTGTGGCCCTCCTCTGGACTCACTCCAACAGGTCCATGTCTCTCTTGTACTGGAGTCCCCAGAGCTGGATGCAGCATTTCAGATGGGGTCTCACGAGACCAGAGAAGAGGGGGAGAATCACCTCCCTCGACCTGCTGGTCACACCTCTTTTGATGCAGCCCAGGACACGGTTGGCTTTCTGGGCTGCAAGCGCACACTGCCGGCTCACGTTGAACTTACTGTCCACCAATACCTCCAGATCCTTCTCCTCAGGGCTGCTCTCAAACCATTTTCTCAGGCAACAACTCAATGCAAGTGCTTTTCATCAAAATAGAAGCAACCTTAGTCTTAAAAACCACCACAAGCACTTAGCACACAAGGCATATAGGCACAGCCTCTAGCTATTATGAGACAACAACTCCATTTTCCGTATGTACACACCTGAGCCATTTTGCAGCTGTAAAGAAAGTAAAGCTTTCTTTTTTGTTACGTATGAGTTTGCTTAAGGTTTTATTGGAGTGGGAAGCAGATGGTAAAAGTGGCAGGCAGAACTTTTATTATTACTGTTACTCCAAACTAACTCTTGTTACTACAGGGAGGCAAATAGTAATACACTGATCCTCTCAGAGGCTCTATCAACTCACAGGAATCCTTACAAAGCAAATTCAACACAATCTTTCCATACCTTGCAAAACTAAGGTAGCTGGCATCCTTTACTACCACACTCTTCTCCAATGGCATCTTTAACAATCCTGTACTGTCAACACGTAACTAGCGAGCTGCTGCAATCACAAACTGCAAGCTTGCAGACAGTAATCTTCCAGACAATAAAAGCAACATGCTTCTTCAGAGAAAGGAGATTGTCTCTTTTAGGTGATTCAGTTGCTCTAAGTCTTGCCTGAACTACCTTCTAGGAAGGCAGCTGACTTTTGTTGTCCTTCCATGCATGCAACTCCAAGCCTTCAGCACAATCCTTTCTCAGCAATCAGCTCTGGCAGTGCTGAAGAACTGCTTCAAGTGAAGTTGTTTAAAAAAAACCAACCAAACAAAAAACAACAAAAAACCCCTAATAAAGAATATCACATCATGTTGAAAGAAAAAACCTGTAATAAGCATTAAGGTTAACAGTAAAACACTGTACTTCGGGACACCTGACCAGGGTGAGGTACAGCAAAACCAAACAAAAATGCTACATTGATGAAACTGGAGTAAGTGAAGTTGATTCCAACACCATAAAACAGCTCTCACCTCTGAAGAAGTGAGGAGGTTGTTTTTTTTTTTAAATGAGAATGAAAAAAATACAATCTAAAATTGCTTGAGAAGACACAATGCCTGACAGAGAAAGCAATCCTTACCATATTGCTTTTCTTCATTTCCCTCTGAACATGAAGTTATACTGAATGACTGTTAGCTCCCAACACTGATACAACCTCCTGCTTTACTTAGCTAGTCCCTCCTGACATAAAGCAGGAACAAAGAAATTACAGAACTAATATTTTGCTATACTCACACAAGTTGTTTCATATATTGCTCCTTGCCTTATGTCCCCCCTGAGGCAAGCAATATTTCTTCTTTCATATTCTATATATGTGCCTTCCTACAAGCAGTCTTCAATCTTGATTGTTGTTGGAACTATCACAAACATGACAAAAAGCCGATTTATGTAGATCACACACAGCATTTTCAGGTGCCATGCAGAGCATTTTCAAAGGCAGCCTCACCTCTAGTAGGGAACCCATACTCCCTTGTCCTTTTGCAACTCAGTGGATTTCTTTCAGATTTGAAAGCAACCCTGGGCAACACACAGCTGATGAAAGTCTTTTTTTCTTTTTTTTTTTT